GAGCTGCGGCTGCGGGGAGGCCCGGCCCGGCTGGGCTCGGTGGGGCTCTGCTGGCGCTGGAGCCTCCCAGCACCTCCCTATAGACCCAGCTTCCGAGTACGTTCCACCGGCCTTCAGAGATTCTGGCGGGTGCCTCTTCCAGTCGCTTTGAGTTCAGTCTCCCCACAGTGCCTGATTGCTGCACTCAGTGTTCTGTTGTGTCTGTTGGTCTGTGAGCAATCACACAGACTTCAGTGCAACTAACTTAACCTGGAGCAGGACGCTGCCCGAGATGAGGAGTTGGCAAAAGAAGAGCTTTGTCTGACTAAATCACTGCAATTAAAAGAAAATAAAGAGGTACAGGAAGCAGTGCTAGAGCATGGCTTTGTGCGGGGGAAACTGAAGGAGATCAAGGTACTGATCTTCCATAACTAGAAGCTCTATATTATAGAATCATTTAAGTTGGAAAGGACCTTTAAGATCATCGAGTCCAACCGTAAACCTAACACTGCCAGAATGTTTGTTTGCAGCAATGACCATCAGGCATGTGGTAAGATCTCCCATTGTCAAAAGTGATATAAAAGCATCTCCCTTATATCAGAGAGAATTGTATCTTACTGTGCTCCAGTAGTGTATCTTTATTTGCTATTGCTCAACCTTTATAAGAAAGTAAGGAACAGCATATTGTAACCCACATATGATAATTACATAGGTTTTCAGCACAAATATTTTGCAAAGCAGCTGGAAACCGGTCATCAGAGCATCTTGCAGTCACTCTGCTGGGGACTCTTCATTGACTCCCATGTAATTATCTTTGAGGTGAACTGTAGCAGTAATAGAAGATGTGAGCTGCTATGTATTTGTGAGTCTAGGATTATAATTTCTAGTTCTGGGTATTATGAAAATCTTGGGCCCACAGACCTTCAGTTAGTGAACCTCATCTGAACGGCTAAGAAATTACAATGTTTAGAAACAGTGAGTAATGAAGAACTTGATAGGACAGGGACATTTTCTTGGTCACAAGCATCTAATGTCTCTGGAATCCTGTATGGTTACATTATACTGGTGACACTTGTACAATAATTCATGCTGCTGTTTTACTCTAAAGGCTGTAAAGATACAGGATTGGAGTCTACTTTTAAGATAGCACAGGCAAAGTCAGAAAATCCTTGGATAAGTTCCATCTTGAACTAGTTCAGGTTCTCTCCCTCCATGTTGACAAATGCCCCAGAACCTTCCCTGTTCTGGTGGTTGAAACCTTCTTTAATTTCCATCATATATATTCCTGTCTATTTTATGTTTGTTCATTCTTGTGTCACCATTGCATTTAGATCAAATCACTATTCACCATTCCCCTATCGAACATTATGGAAATCTGCTTACTATTCAGGTACTTGCATTGCCTAATCTTAGCAAGGAGTATCTACTTTAAAGGCATTAATTTCTCTGCACGTTTGGACTGTACTTGTTTTCCCTATCTTGTAGTTGCTAGTAGTAACTAGCTACTACAACTATGTGTATTTAAAAAGTAGTTTTCCCTATCTCGTAGTTGTAGTTCAACAAGGCCAAGTGCCGGGTCCTGCACTTTGGCCACAACAACCCCATGCAACGCTACAGGCTTGGGGAAGAGTGGCTGGAAAGCTGCCTGGCGGAAAAGGACCTGGGGGTGCTGGTCGACAGCTGGCTGAACATGAGCCAGCAGTGTGCCCAGGTGGCCAAGAAGGCCAATGGCATCCTGGCCTGTATCAGAAATGGTGTGGCCAGCAGGAGTAGGGAAGTGATCGTGCCCCTGTACTCGGCACTGGTGAGGCCGCACCTTGAATACTGTGTTCAGCTTTGGGCCCCTCACTACAAGAAGGACGTGGAGGTGCTGGAGCGTGTCCAGAGAAGGGCAACGAAGCTGGTGAGGGGTCTGGAGAACAAGTCTTATGAGGAGCGGCTGAGGGAACTGGGGTTGTTTAGCCTGGAGAAAAGGAGGCTCAGGGGAGACCTCATCGCGCTCTACAACTACCTGAAAGGAGGTTGTAGCGAGGTGGGTGTCGGTCTCTTCTCCCAGGTAACAAGTGATAGGACGAGAGGAAATGGCCTCAAGTTGCACCAGGGGAGGTTTAGATTGGACGTGAGGAAAAATTTCTTTACTGAAAGAGTGATTAAGCATTGGACCAGGCTGCCCAGGGAAGTGGTTGAGTCACCATCCCTGGAAGTATTTAAAAGACGTGTAGATGAGGTGCTTAGGGACATGGTTTAGTGGGCATGGTGGTGTTGGGTTGACGGTTGGACTCAATGATCTTAGAGGTCTTTTCCAACCTTAATGATTCTATGATTCTATTCTATGCTATTACATCACTTTAACTGTACAACTAGGAAGAAAGATGTTCCTTGTGCCACAGCACAGTATGGACTCTCTCTTCCTGCATTGCAATAATAACTCTCTGGCAAAAAAGCATTCTTGGAATGAAAGAGAAATGGTTATATAAAAGCAAGGTATGTACCTGTGCTTATATGAGTACCACTGTTTGATGTGGTATACTGCAGAAGAATTGCTAGTGTTAAGGTACTAAATTCTATGTCAGATTTTGCAAGCTTAATATTTAAACGGCAATGTGTGTCCAAGTCTTCTGGTCAGTATTAGTCAAGACATTTACAAATACGTAAACTAATAGCTGTAGACAAGGCTGTCTAAGATGCTGTCCTATTTAATTATATTTGTATATGGGATGACTTAATATTTAAAGGTTTTAATATCTTGCCCATTCACACCTGCATATTAAGCAAACCAAAAGTAGTTCTGGTTAATATGTAGTGACTGCTAATCAAAGATCTGTGTTTAAATTTAAGCTTTCAGTTCTCCAGGCCCAGAGATGCATCTGAAGCTGGCTATCCAGTGTTGCTGAGAAAAAGAAATGCTTGAAAACCAGGAGTTATAAAAAGGAATTCTGAGGAAGCTTTAATGCTAGCAGCGTTAGCAGGAGTCAAGATAAAATAGAAATAGGAAAGATAGTTCATGCATTGCAGTTCTTTAGGAAACACATTAGTGACCAGCAAATTGTTTTTGCTCTATAGATGATCTTTTCAATGCTTTTTGAAATTAGTTGATTTAGCACTGAGGCAGGGTTCTTACTCAAATAACAAAACTTTAAATTATTACCTATTCTGAGAGAGACTGCATTGCAAAGCTAGACACAATGCCAAACACCAAACCATTCAGTCTGATGAACAATAAGTTTGGATTAATTGATCTTTGGGACCTATCCAGAAAAGGATTTGAGTGTCTGGCTGGAGCTTTTCACACTATGCTCAATGGGTGTTTACAGTTCTGCTCTGTAATGAGAAAGCAGGAAAGTGGCGGAAGTCTACTCTAGCTCCTACAACCATGTGTATTTAAAAAGATAAAGACAACAGCTTAAAATTCTAATCTGTTCAGCTCAACTATGAGTTGAGCTATTGAACTCGGCAAAACATTCTCAGACTTCCTTGTTGTTTCAGTGGAAGTGGTTCAGTAGGACATAACCTGACCCAATGCCAGGCTAATGCTTTTTCAACCCTTGTGTCCAAGACAACAGCAATCTCTTATCTTGAAGGCTTTTCTGCCCACTTGATTATTTCCCTTTTTTTTTTTTGGTAGGGATTGCACTCCTACCACTATATCTTGTGCGTTTTACTTACATAATAATAACATTTATGTCTAATATGCCAGACTGATTTTTGGGTCTTTGTTATGATTTTTGTCATGTAATCACCTACTTGATAAGCCTCTGTTTTGAAAGAGAACTAGTAAGTAAAGAAGCTGCTCTTATCCTTAATGTTATACTGTTTTCTATCGCAACTTTCTCTCCACGTTATTCTCAGGAGCCTATTTTAATTCTTGCAGAGCCTGTAAAGGCAGAGTGCTGAATGTTGTATGTAGCGCTAAGGAAAGAAACTTGAAGGAAAGACAGGCCAAAAGATGGGGTAATGTAGGAAAACAGGGCATGCAACTTATTGTTTTGTCTTTATGCTGTCAGTGCTGGATGGAGAGTCGTTGCAGCGCTGCTTCTTTAACAAGCTTCGGGATGTTTGCTTTGAGTGGCAGAAGCAGTTGCCACCACTGAGACCACTGAAGCGGTTCCTGCTCGTTTCCATCCACGCCATCCGTAACACTCGACGGAAAATGGAGGACCGCCACGTTCTGCTCCCAGAGTTCAATCAGCTGTTTGGTTTATCAGTAAGTCTGGACAAAATTGGGGAGGCCAGTTTGTTAGCTTTTCAACAATCCTGTAAACACAATGACCTAGTGATGGATGATCTATGAAATGGTAAGAATTTGTTGCCACAAGTTATTTATCATGTCTGTGCTGGAGCAAGGACTTACTGACTCAGGTTCCTAGGGGCTAACTACTGCCCTGGTAAAGAAGGATCTTGTGACCTTGGGTTTCAAGTCATAAGTGATATAGGGAGATGGGAAGTTCACCTAGTGTTATGTTGCTGGAGTTATAATGTTCTTGTGACTGAAGTAACCGATATATTAAGAAAAGAAGGGGGGAGAACAGCAATTGTACAAGTGCCAATTAATGAAGCTGCAGTGGGACTACATAACCAGCTGTCTGCTGTTTCAATTCCAGATTATTTTCAAAGATATTAAATGACTAACAGCAAACAAAGAAAAGTAATTCCCCTGCAAAGTACCCATTTTATCCATTTTGCATGTGGGTAAACTGACTTAAATTGCCCTTACCTGTGCAATGTTGTATGGAAGAAAGATAAAGAATCTTTGCTTGCTGGGTACCAGTCTATGAGCTGTTTTGTTTTTGAACATGAATATGTCTTCCTCTCTCTCCCTCTGGGCAAAAGGATGACATTGATCGCGCTTACTTTGCGGTGTTTGATGGCCATGGTGGAGTGGATGCTGCCAATTACTCAGCAACCCATTTACATGTAAATGTCGGGCTACACGAAGAGATTGTTAAGAATCCAGCTAAGGCCTTGAAATGCTCTTTCCAGAAGACAGATGAAATGTTTCTTTTCAAAGCCAAAAGAGAGGTGAGTGGGTAGAGATTAATTCCATTATATTTAAATAACACTGAGAACTGTTGGACAACACGGTATTATCCAGAAAATTCTGGCAGTACAGTTTCTTTGAATCACTGACTTCTTTATGAAGTTATGCTACATGTAAAAGTTTTCTTTGATCAAATTACTTTTTTTTTGAGGAGAAAAAAAATGACAGTGCTTGCAAGTTCAAGATGTGTGATTGAAAAGAAGTGTTAACTGGTTTAAATGATCCTGACATACCAATTATTTGAGAGAACACTCTGCTGCCTCTTTGCCTAAATTAGGCAGCCTCTAGATGTTCTGTTTTCCTACCTCTTACCTGGAAAAGAGGTTTCTCTCTTCGTGATACTACAGTCACTATCTTCCTCTTTCTTGTCCCACCACTAATGTCACAGGTGGTTGTAAGATGAAAAAAGTACTCTATGATTTAAATCAGACTCTTCAGTTCATTAAGCTTATTGATCAGCTTTGAATCAAGTTGGTATGATGAACATTCTTTCTTCAAATCTACATAATGAGAGGATGGTTTATTATACAGTTTAATGAGAACTCTTTTATTATAGCAGTAACTGAATATGGAAGTATTCATTGTTAATATCTTAATTTCTGTCAGTGAGGTACAAAAGAGGGACCAGCATCTTCAGGCGGTCTGACTCTCACTAATCTTTACAGGGAATCTAGGACAGTTAGGTTCCTTCCTTTGTTGACATCCTCATTTAAATAGCCAAGGATTAAGGGGATGTATGTGGAGCAAGGTGTCTGTAGTTGCCAATGGTAGAGTGGAGAATGTGAAAGGGATTGGGGAGACCTGTGTTTGTTTGTGAAATGTTCACACTACTGAAATTCAGATCCTCTTTCTTTTCTGTGTGTCTCTGTGTTTTGAACAATAGAGGTCTTAGTCTCTTAGGTCAGTTTTGGAATTAATAGCAGAGAAGAAAGAACATAACAGAGGCAGTATTAGCCATCTGCGTGTTAGAATATGTAAATAGTTTATTTCAAGTCTGTCTAATATCTTATACCTTTTTTCAGGTACCTGAATTATGATTGGCCGGTCTACTCTGCTGCACTTAAGTGTGATTAAACCTAGGTTTACAGTATTGCCATGTAACCTAGTAGGGCTTGTTGAATATTCATCTGACATACCCGTTTTCTTCCGCAGAAGCTGCGGAGTGGTACAACAGGTGTATCTGCGTTGATTGTAGGGAACAATCTACACATAGCATGGCTAGGGGACTCGCAGGTAATGCTTGTGCAGCAAGGAAAAGCTGTGACATTAATGGAACCTCACAAACCAGAAAGAGAAGTAAGTCTGGCTTGTTTTTTTCTCTCGTGTGTGTGTTATCAGAATCTCTCTTGAAACCTTTTGGAATCAAGCCTTCTTAAGTGTTCGGTGCTTTACATAATTACATATATTGTATGGCAGGATTCAGAGAACTGACAATTTCTTTTTTTCCATCCACTCCTGTATCTTGAAAAGGTGATCCCTACAACTGTGCCCCCTTGAAAGTACTGATGGTACTGGTAGTCCTGACTGCAGTTCCTGCTCAGACTGTCTTTTCAAAATTTGTAGTAATTAAAGACTTTCACAGGACTTTTTTTGTGTGTGTGAATTTAAAACTGCCTGTTATAAATTAAATTAATTAATTTGAGATTAATAGCTATTTAAAATGCTAGCATAATGCAAGTCTTTCATAATATGCTATACTGTCATTCAAAAGCTAATGATAATCTACTAGCCTAACTGGCTTAAAGTGTATTGCATTTTCTATATATTTTAAATAGCCAGATAACTTATTACATGAAATTTGATGGGGATCTCGTGAGTTTAGATAGCATTGCATGATGCTTTGCCTTCATAGCATGAATATTTGTAATAACTGAGTAGTTAAAGAAGTAGGAATACAAATGCTATTGTTACATAGTCTAGTTATCTTGTATTTTATTCCAAGTATTTATATATTTATCCAGTTGCTGTATGGGATGGGAAGAAGTGGCAGGAAAGGGTACCCATCCATATGGGAAAGAACATGATGATACAAAAACTTAAGAACTCTGCTTTTTTGTGGACAAGCCATGGTATGGTTGGGAAGTAGGTGGGTTGTTTCCAGTAATCTTAAGTGCATGTTTCCGAGCTAGATTCCGATATGTGTGTTTGCTATATTCATAGTATAAACACAGAAGCTGAAGCAGCTCTTGGTTTTGGGTTTTGTCTTTTTTTCCTCTTTGATTGGGTAACAGCAAGGTCAGTAAGCCACGGATAGGCTTTCAGTATAAAAATTGTATTCTACTGTTTTTCAGGATGAGAGAGCACGTATTGAGGCTCTGGGTGGTTGTGTAACCTATATGGACTGCTGGCGGGTTAATGGTACCTTGGCTGTTTCCAGAGCAATTGGTAAGATAAACCATCAGAATTATTATAGTTCAGATTAAATTTGATTAAAACACACCACCTGAGGGCTGTATGTTCACTGTAAATGACACTTTGCTCAGCATCAATCAAATAGTAAACTACTCTTACTGTCTTTGCCTTAAGGCTAGCTTACAGCTATATAACTTACATAGCTTGCAGCTATATAATCTTATTGGTTTTACCATAAGCATAGAATGTTATTTTATTTTACATACTAGCCACGACAGTCCTAATTCTTTTATACTTCTAAGTCTTTTGCTTCTTGTACATGTCTTTGATACCGTGGTGTTCTACAGTAGCTTGACAAATGTAGAGTATTTAATTTGTAAAAGTAGAGGAAGTAACAAATGTTCATCTAGCCTTCTTTATGTGTCTGCTTTGTGGGTTTTTTTGACCACTTTAATACTAATATATCTTTCTCCTGACTGCAGTTCTTAAGTCAGATTGCTGCATCCTCCTTCAAATCACACATATCCAGCAATTTAGGGCATTTTAATTGTAGTATTCCAGAATCTTATTAAATGAGCTTGCTTTGCTACTCGCCAATTAGGGCAAAAAGAGAAAAGACCCTGGGCAAGTACAGTAGATAACTGTAATGTATGAGTGGAAGCAAATTAGTATAAATTTGTATAATACTATTTGGATCAATAGCAACCCATGTTTAATAAGTATGTCCATATGAAACTGATGAACTAAACACAGTGAGACAATTCTTATGGCATTGTGCTATATATCTGGATAGCTAAGAAAAATCTTATTTTCATAGCATTCTGAAGGCTGTACAAGAGACACACCTGCAAAATGAAGGCCTGACTATCTCCTTGCACAAATATATTTCAGAGAGAAAAAACTTTGAAAGAATTTGTTTAGTTTCCCTGCAAAATTAGGAAAGCATGAATCAGAGTAACTCCTTAGAAACCTACTGAATTTAGGTAGCTTCCAAGCATTCTTAAAGAAACAAAGGCCTTCCATGCTTATTCCATAGCTTTCCACTACTCTTGTCCTGCATCAGGTACCTCTGGAATATGATCTGCCTGTCCTTGAGGACGGTAAAAGCAATTGGTGGGTGAAGAAGTAACTGTTTACATTTGAAGTAATAAAGCCTTTATTTCGATCCTTTGTCTTAGGTGACATATGTCAGAAACCCTACATCTCTGGTGATGCAGATGGAGATTCATTTGAGCTGACTGGTTCTGAAGATTACTTGCTTCTAGCCTGTGATGGATTCTTTGACGCTATCAAGCCATATGAGGTTGTAGACTTGGTCCTAGATCATTTAATGCAAACCAAAGGAGTGGGTCTCAAAGCAGCAGAAAGACTGGTGGCTGCTGCAAAGGAAAATGGATCCAGTGATAATATCACTGTTCTAGTGGTGTTCTTGAGGGATCCTCAGGACATCTTGGCGGACTGTCTCAGAGACCCTAAGAGCCTTGGGACTGGTGATGATGCTCGGAGCTCACCCTTTAATTTCCTCAGCTGTGAGGCAGCAGCCACACAGTGACAAAATCTGCTTAATCCAGAATGTTCAAATGAGTTCTTGTAAGGAACTGCTTTCCACTGAAGAAGCCTCTAATACAGTAGGCAAAATGTGTCAGGAGAAAAATGACAAATGGACAAACAGTTAATAGGCAAGGCTCCTTTTACTGAGTTCCCATTTGTCTTTTCCTTCCTTCCTCTTCCCTTCAAAAAACACTGAGCAGATGTGGAAATTTATACAGCTATTTCGTCTCTGGGAGCAGACTTCTAAAACGTGTCCCAGGGCTGCTGGTCATATCCCTCTGCCCTGGAAGTGGTAAGAAACCATAATATGTATAAGCTAATGGGTGAGAACACCTGTTTGTGAATTCTGAGTGAAAATTTAAATTGGCGCTTAAAAAGAGTGCTGTATGTTGTATTTAATTGTGATGTTACTTTGGAGATTGGGAGGAGAGAAGCTGTCACCATCACAGAAAAGCTTGTTACTGTGTGTGGTCTGTAGGAACAGGCTTGGTGTGCGAGAGCCTGGGTGACACCATTGTGCTGTGTAAGTTGCTTTTGTTTCCTACCAAAGATGATATTACAAGAATGATGTGGCCTCTTATTCAGAGACATTTAATTTTGTATGGAGAGGGGAAAACGAAACTGAATGTTCCAGAAAAAGAGCAAGAAAGCTAACTAGCAATATCCCAGGCAAAATGATACAAAATCAGCTGCTTTCTGGGATGCTCTGGTTTATAAACTGGAATCCAATATTTAACTGCACTGGATTATTTCTCCCTAACGAACATGCTTTATTGGCTGTTTGGCAACTTGAAAAGAAAGGACCCTTATTGTTGTATTTGAGAGAGGTCTTTACAGTATGTATGCTCTAGCAGTTAAATATGCTCTGTTTCTGCCACTTTTTTGTGTACTATAACAAATGAGAATTTTATTTTTATTCTAAGTGTTTATTTGTTTATTTACTGAAATTTACAGTTGGAGGAATTTTTTGCAGTGTTACTTTATTTTGTTGTGGTTTTTATTTAAATTAGAATTTTAAAGTGGCTGTGTCTTTATTATCTGGTTTTAAAAACTAACTACCCTCAAGTGCCTTAAATATTTCACCCAAGGATTGCTGGCTTCCTATCATATTCTGGTGAGCCAGTTCATAGTGTTTTTAAAATGTGACTTTTTTATTTCAGTAATACTAATGTTTAATGCACTTAAATGTTCATTTTTGTGAATGATTTCAGTGGGAACTAGGTTTCAAGAAAACAACTCTTTCATTGTTGCCAAATCTTGTGGCTTGTAGTAAAAGCTTCATAATACTTACTGTGACTTACCCCCTGCCCCATGCAAAAAGCTCTAGTTAGTTAATCATAAAGTAACAATCTCAGTCATCATGACTTTCATTTAAAAACAAGTACACTTCTGACCTTCACAAGAAAATCTATTAACACAAACTAGAAACAGTTTAGTAACGGTTTTTGATTAATAGATGGTTAATTTGGCCATACTTCAGGAACTTTTTGGGTCTAAATAACTTTCTAAGGAGATGTGAAGCTAAGGTGAGGATGAAAGAATCTTAATGAATGTGCAACTGTTATATCCATTACATGCTAGAGCCTCTGGTTGTGTTTTGTCTTGCCTTGCTAGCCTGGCTAGCAGGGCTTAACAAGATCTGAAGGCTCAATGGTAAATGTGTTAGTAATTTCTGTATCTAAACAAGAAGTGCTTTACATCTGGCAGCAAGATTGTATGTCTAATTTAGAAGCACATGGCATTGCAATATGTCAGTCCTGTTGATTAAAATGTGTTGAACTTTAATGTTGCTTAGGGAGGAAATTTAGATAGAAGAGTTGAGATGGCTGAAAGGAAGAACAGAGCAGCACTGTTTGTCTATAGTGTCTCTGAATCGTTAGCTAGTGTGGAGCAATGCAGTTACCCAAGTGACTTGAGTTTTTTGCTGGATTACTATGGACGATCGTACAGTTTAACATAGAAACTCCTCAGTGAGCTACCATCTCATTACATAGCAACTCGGACAGTGACTTCCTTGTTTTGCTATGCAACAACAGGAGCTTTTCCTCTGAGAACATTTCAAGCACTTTTCCATCCTACATTTTGCTGTCCTGAAATATGTGGGGAAGGCTTTCTGTGATGGCAGCCTGGTAGAGTAGGTGTTAATTTTTGTAGTGAACCTCTTCAATTAAGGAAGCCTTTAGAGTTGCATAGTAATCCCTTTGGATTTACCATCTCCTATCTCTTTGATTTCTAACCCAGATATTCAGTGTCATGCTAAATTCTGATGACCACTAGTGCCTCTTGGTGTCTTGGAAATAGTTCTCATTATTAATATAGTAAGAATCATACAGAATTGTTTGATTTCACTGCTATCTGAGGTTTATCAGGAGAGGGGGAAGCTATTGTATTCATGAAGGAAGGTGTGAAATGTTGGTAAGTTCATAGTGTGGGTTTAGTTTCTGAAATTTGCCAAATTTGCTGAAACATGGAGGGAACTGAACAAGCCAAATTCTTTGTAATGATCCTTTTATTTCAACCTTTTTGGGGCAGACTTGCATTACAGAGGAAACAAAGTCTTAAGTCTTTCAGTAGATACTTACAGCTATGTGAGAATATCCTTTTTCGTTTCAAATTTGATAGATTTCTTTTTTTTTAATGGTAGCTGAGTGAAATGGGCCTTTAGAAAGTTGTCTGTGGTAATTAAAAAATCTAATTCTCAAGCTATGCTCTAGGGACAAAATTCTGCATTCTGAGAAGCTGTTCCCTTATATAGGTGTTTTCATTCTGAATGACCTAGTGCCTCATTTCTTTGAGATGTAAGAGGATAGGAATAGCCTTTGGGAACTCATACAGATTTCAGTGGGGATAAAAAATATTTCTCTGATTTTCAGAGACTTCTTACTAGCTTTAAAAAGTCTGGTCAGGTCTATAGGAGTTGTAACTGGGTAAAAAATGGCAGTTTGTATCCTATCAGTGGAATAAATAAGTCTTAATGTGTCATCTACAGTAAAATTCTGAATACTGTTTGGGGGGGCAAAATTGGTTTTGGTGATGTCTTACGTATTCTTGACAGCCTCATCAAAACCTGTGGAAACTTTTTTTTTTTTTACCTGAAAAACCATTTCAATTTGATGTTAAATCAGTAATGAAAGTATGACACAGGATGCAAGTATGGGTTTTGGAAGTGCACTTTTAAAATTCTATTGAAAATGGTCATCAGGATGGTCTTATCCTTGGGATCACAAGGCAACCTCCAATTTTTGTTTCACTTGTGACTTTGGTATCACTTTTAGAAGCCACCAGCTATAATGCATAATACTGTTACAAGAAGTGTCACTAGTATGGGTGGTGAGGAGAGAGGGGAAGGAGGTCTAGCAGAAAATATGGAGTTGAACTAAATAGTGCAAAATAAGGTATGGTGCTATGCTTCGAATTTACGGTACTAATCTGCTACATTAGCTTTTCTTATCTTTCCTCTTAAAACTTCTTGGATTTCTGGTATTGGCTGTTCTGTTCTGTTTTCCATCCCTCCTTTGGTTAAAAATAATAGGTAATTTTGGTGAGTGAGTGCTCTCTCCTCTCTGGGCCTTCCCAGTGTCATCTACAATATACTAACACTTGTCCACCAATGTCAAATCGACTAATGACAAATTGACTAATTTGCCTGTTTCTTTGTTGTCTTTCTGATGGGCCTGCAACAAAAACAATTCTTGAGTCTAGCCAAAATCTTTGAAGCTGTAGAAGTTAGCTGAAGGATTCAAGACAAATGTTAAATGAAAAATGAAAGTATTTCCATATTTTATTAGACTCCAAATGAATGCTGCTGCATTTTAGCACCCAGCATCAGAAAAATTGCTCCTTAAAGGAGCCTGCATTTTTAAAACAGAGCACGCGTAAATTCTTGTATTGTGCTTGATTGAAAACTAGCTTTAGTCATTCTGCTCAGTGGGTATCCAACATCTCTTTTGCTTATGGGTAATTCATACTTCTACCTTTCTTTCCCTTCCCTTCCCTACCCCGCCCTCTCCTACAAAGAAACATACCTAAGACAATGAAGTCTTCTGGGTCTGACATAGACAAGATTACAGTTTTACAAATTACATTTGTTGGGGGGTTGGTTTGGGTTGTTTTTGAGAACACAGAGGATAGAAATGCAGGAAAATTTTTAGAACAGAGGGAGATTAAGTAAAATCCACCCTCTGAGTGATGGAGGAGTGAAAGAGAGAGACAGGAATGCATTTAAGTATTATTAATGCCTATTTTAAAAAGGAAGTGGGCTGGAAAATAGAGCTACAAATGTCAGTTCTTTAGAGTGAAATACCAGTGCTTGAAAGAATTAGAAACGCACCCATTAAAAAGGCAAAAATCAGATGTAGTAACTCTGTCTTCAAATAGCCAAGGAAGGAATCACAGTAAAAGCATCCGAGGTGACTTACTGTGACCCCTCAACACTGTCTTGGAAGCTAATGCTACTAAATGGATTTTTCTAAACATCTGTATGTGTAAGGTAATGCTAAGAGGGAGCATTCGGTATATGCAGTTACTGGTCACCGTGCAACTGCTGCCATGAGTAAATGCCATGAAGTGTGTTAATGAATCGATACGGCTGGCGAGCTCTCGTAAGACGAGTAATTGGGCATGGAGTGGTTACAGCGGAGCTGGCAGTTGAATAGTGTTAATCACAGTGATGATTTTAATAGTATTTAATAGACACTTATCTGAATTCAAAGTCAGATGAGATACCGCTCTTTTTAAAAGCATTTCCAGTGCTATTAGCTTTCTGTCATGAAAAGCCACTAACATTTCCATTTTTTTGTTGGATTTTGGGAAAAGTGCTTCTCTTGCTTTCTGAATTCTGGAGATAAGTTGGCTGTCTGCACTGGAAAACCCATTTTCAGTTGATAGCTTAAAGGAGCTGTTTGGAGTTGAAACTTCCCTCCCAGGCAATCCTTTAAAAACTAACAAAAAGGTGCTTCCGAAACAAGTGGCTGAGGAACACAGGTATTTCTAAATGGCATTGCGCAAAAGGTAACCAGCAAATACCCTCATCTGTAAAGGGCATAGACAGTTAGTTGAGCTGCTTAAAGTCTAAATTAAGATTGCAGCTCCACTCTTTGCGTAAGCGAGACTCTGTTGGTTAAATTACTCATATTCTTTTGGATGCAGGTACTTAATGCACAGCACCAGACATGGTCTATTTCTATTCTTATAGTACTGAAGTATCAAGCAAATGCTTTGGGGAGAAGGTGGGGGGATATTAGCCACAACAGAGCAGATTGCAGATGATTCATATATAATTTAGCTCTAGTTAAGCCTGAATTAAATTTCCCTGCTTAGTTCTATTACTGTCCCTTTTACAATTGGACCTGTGCTGTCAGACAAAATCCTACTAGGAAGTAATGGTCCATTCCCCCTTTTTGAGGAGCAAACAACTCCTGATAGACAAAATGTCATTCAGGAAGGGTTGGAGAGGGAGAAAGATGAGCTTTCAAATGAGTGCAAAACTTCCCAATCTACTCTAAGTTACCTATTCGCTCTAAACACGTTTATAGCAGGTCTGATTGCATTTGAATAGTTGTGCCGGAAGGCAATGGGTTTTCTGCCAAGCTAGTCATAACCTTTAAAACTGACAGCACCAAAACCAAGAGGCTAGTCCTCCCTGCTTTCCTAAATCAAGCCACTAAAACAGCCGGCCCTATTGAGTATTTGTTTTGCAGTGTTGACAGCTCTAAGAGCTAAGCCAGCCACTTTCTTCATGTGTTTTGGTTTTTTTAATACATTTATTGGATTTTACTTTACATAAAGTTATTTCTGTTGATATCAATCATGTCAGCTGAAAAGTAATCAAATGGAGACATGAGGGAGTGACTGGACCTGAACACCTATCTGTCATAGGCACTTGTTAAAATACTACCTTAAAATGAACTGGTAGGCTCTTGTGATAACCTTATCTCTGAGTAGAAGAGGAAACCAAAATCTTACAGAGAATCACTTAAACCTTTATTTTGGTGTGACCCATCAGAGCCTGAACACTCACAAGCCTTCCCCACAAGCTGTTCAATGTTGCTAGTTTAATGTGTTTTCTAAGCTGTGCATACTGCTGCTGGTGTACACAAAAATAAACAAAAGACAGCTGTGTTGGCAGCATAGAAAATTTAGCAAGATGCAGCTTTTGTCAAACAGAAGAGGACAAAATCAATAGGAAATGTTTTCAAGCTTCTTGGAATGCAAACAATGGAATAAAAAAAAAGCAACCTAGTAGAGTTGGCAGTGCACTGTCGGCTTAAAACCACTGTTTTAAGCAAATGAATTTGGCTGCTTTGTAATGTCTGCTTTATTTTGTTAACAAACTCATCTCAGTCAGGGTTTCATGTCTTGTTGTTGATAAGTGCTTTTTAGTCTGAAGAGAGAAGATATATTTAACTTTCTAAGGAGCTGAATGTATCTGGGCTTTGTGACTAGTTAGATTATGATTATTGAATTTTCTCTCAACTATTAAGCCTGATTACTAATTTCCAGGACATATTAATATAGCAAGTACTGAACTTATTAATCATTAAATGGTTCTGGATTTCCATGAACAAGAACTTCATCAGTCTTTCCTTATCTAGCGGATCTCTTCTTGAAGTTTATTCTCATTTGTGTGGCAATACATTAGGGATGTGGAAGGTTTGTCGCTTTGGCAAATGGAGCTGGAAGGTGTGACCATCACTCCCTGCAGGAAGTGTTTATCTTTTTATCTAAGGAATGATGGTTCCTTTTGGATGTCTAAGGATAAAGAGATCATAGCTAGGAAACTAGAGAGATCCTACGGGGACCTTCTCAGGGCAATTAAATACTATGACTTCTGCTTTTTCATGTTGCCCTTTCTAACTTCGTTAAAAAGCATTCTGCTTAATACTGGATGATTAATGCTGCTTTCTCCCCCCCCCCTTTTTTTTTCTTTCAGTGTGTTTAATAATAGCAAGGTGTTTGTTTTGTTGGGGGTTAAAACTTTATACTGGCAAAAAAAAGGCCAGTATAAAGCTTTAAGTACTTTTAACTTACTTAATTACTTTAACTACTTTTAACTTCCTCTTCTGAAAGTCAGTCCTGCTCTGTCTCCTTATTCTCTTCCCAATTTTCTTTTTCTTCTATCTTTTATGTCCTTTTACATGGTCAGCCCCCCTCCCCAAAATGCTGCTTCTTTGACTGTAAACTCCATTGGCTGTTAAGTCAGTTTAGTTGCCACTTTATAATTTTAATTTCATCTGTGTTCATAGTGAATGTGGTCCAATCTTTGGAGGCCTGCAACACCAAGAGTGTAGAAAGTACCATGTCAGCTAGGAAGATAAGAGACTACAACAACTGTTGTGTCTTTGGCATTGACCAGTATTGGACATGTAAGAAGAAAATCCCGTTATTTGCATGTTATTCCATAGGAATACTTAAGCTTATTTCAGGTAACAGTAGCTCTCAAACTGAATACAGGACTTCAGAAATACTCTTGTCTCTGTATTTCCTTGTTCCTGCAGATTGTTTGTGTTTTCAAACATTTGCACTGTTTAGAGTGGGGAAAAAAGCTTTCTAACTTTCTTCACCTCTTCAGTTCTCTGTCTTTCTTGCCCTAGTTGACCGAACAGACAGGTTGGTAATGGCAGCATACCACATGGCTAATCAACCTCTCAGTCAGTGTAATTCTTCAGTGTCTGCTCTGTACGATAACTTCAATCCTGTGCTTATTTAGTGGTAAGTTAGACCTCTGTAACTACTCTGGCTGACTTAAAAATATGTGTTCTTATCAGTATTAAAATAGTACAAGAGCAGAACTGTTGCTTTAGGCACATTTCTTGCCACTGTGTTGGCTAACGAACCTTGAATGAAAGTAAGAGGGCCAGTGACTTTGAAATAGGAGATGTTAGCCAAGTGTTGTAGAATCGTAGTCCTTATTTATTTTGTATGCTAATCTGCATTTGTGACCCTGAGCAGAAAAGCTGCAGTACAGCAGGTTTTATAAGCTGTGGCTTAACCAGTTATCCAGTATCTTAAAAACTCTTATTTAAGCTGACTGGTTTTGTGCACAGGTCAGAAACCTGTTGTCATTGACCATTAAATGCTATGCGTACTGTACATTCATTTACATAGATTGTTCTAATAGTGCTTCTGTGTATTATGCTACATTACCATATTTTTATATATATATGTATTGCATGAGGTTTAATTGTTGGGGTTTTTTTGTATTGTCACTTTTGTATTCACACAGTGCCTCATGTATCTATTTGCATATTGCAAGAAGTTGTTTCAAAGCAGTGATTGGAAATAGGTGGGGGTAAGAACTCCCCACTGTAGGATCTGATGTTTCTGAAGTATTAATAAAGTATAGTGATTCAAAGCATTATTTGTTTCTTTTCTTAAATGTATTTTTCATTCTTATACTTCAAGTAGCTGGATATGCAATGGTCATATTGCACATCTTTGAGCGGTCACCCTGTCACCAAATCTTACCTTCTTCCATAGGGCCTTTCTGGGAAAAGAAATCAGTGGAAGCACTAGAAGGAAACAATCCTTGGGATCACAGAGCGTGCTTACTTGAAAAGATGATGTCACTAAAACCATCTTAGAAATGGACTGCGTACCTCTAATTCATTGATTTGATCTAAGTTTTCTTTCATTCTTTTTACCAGCTAACAACAGTAACAATGCAGGTTAAGTCTGGCGTACTACCTAATGTCTCACAGTAATGGGCTAATGATCTGAAAGACCCTGTAGCAGCAGAGATCGTGACAATTTGTTGTTTACTTGCATACTTGTTAAAGAAGTGGTCTTTAACCGCTGAAGTGGAAGGATGGACAGTGAATTCTTGGAGTACGTTAGGGTTAATTTACTACAGAACATAGAGGAAGTTTTGAGAAGGATGGTAACTTTCAAAATGTAAGTATGGCTTGGAAGCTAAGCTAAACTGTGTGATTGTTTCTGAAGTGCTGCTGTTCATATCCTCAAGAAAGGAAGATGTAAGGAGAGCAGGACAGAGATAAGAGACTCGACAAAAAGCAAGCTTTAACACTCTTGGGGATCTGAGAGATGCAGTCTTTTAGGCAGTTTGTCTAAACGCTGTTGTATTTATCCTGGTGAAGAAGAAAAAGAAAAATCTAGTAAGAGCCCAGGATGCTGCATCAGAGGGAAGTCGATAAGGTATTTCTTGAAATAGAAAAATAAGGATAACCATAATCAATCATCAGGTAGATTCTGCTCAAGATGCTGTGGGCATACTTGAACGTACTTCAGATCAAACCTCAAATCTCTTGAAAATGTCTTCCATTTCATGGTTCTAAATGTTTTGTTGGTTTGGTTTGGGTTTTTTTAATGGTAAGAATTCCAGGGGTGAAAATTCACTTGTAATAATGTCTAGAAGAGTAGCAAATTCTCAGAAAAAAAGTGTAGGTTGGGGATTTGCTTGATCAGGTTTAGCAGCAGTTTCCTAGCCTGTGATTCACTTAGCTCACCAGGGAGCATAAGCAACAGCTAACTGCTGCTGTTCTTTCATGATTATGTAAAGCAACTATGGGAATCCACCATCCAGGTAACTCCACAATCCAAAGGCAACTACAGCTACTTTTTGCCGATAACAACACAGAGCTGAACAAAATCACTCCAGTGTCTTGCAGGCATCTTTGGTACTTCCTAACAAAGGGTGCCGTCTTCCTATAGATCTGAGCCCATTCCAGCTACAGTTGAGAACAGGACTGTACATCACTATTGCTTCTCCTTGCTGGTGCCCAACGTTGGCTTTACTGTCTCCTTTTGATTAGTAGGAGGTGAAATTCAGACACTGCTGATTCTTGTTGGCTGTGCTATCTTAATCATGAATGTTTTCTGGATGTTTTCTTTTCCATCTAGCAGATCTCCAGTAGACCACATGTTCAACATGGGGTTCATAGCCTGTGGTATCAGTCATCTGCAATCTCTGTTGCTGGTGGGTTTGAGCAAGAAGCAATTAATAAGCCCATGGAAATGAATGTAAAACTTTGATTCAAAGCTACATGAAGCTAAACTTAGATGCCACTGACGGGGTTCATGACACAGAAGCATTATCCACCTCAATTGTTTGAGCAAGGAATAACAAATCTTCGTGTCCTGTTTAACCACCCCCATTTGATGTACGTTTCTTTGTAGACAATGTGTTGTAAAATCTGTAGCCACGCATTTCCTAGACTGTAGAAAGTAGTGAAATAACAGTGGTGATGAGGCACATGTTTCTGTTTCAGCCTGAATTAGTGACTGTTACAACACAAATGAGGGCTATTTGATTCTTGTAGAGCTGCTCAGTTTACCTTGACTAGTATTTGCTGGTGTCGTCCAGGTTCTCTAGGAAACTTTACTGGGGGTTGCTATGCAGAAATTAATGCTACAGCTCTACCAGATCAACCTGGACATGCTTGTCCTTTACACCTGGGAAATCGAGTGAGCAGAAGTGCTTCTTCAGAGACTAGGAGAACTTTAAGAAATATGGGCTCTCCTCTAGTAATGCAGATTTCACATATCTCTGCTCTTTGGCGAGGGCCAGACAAAAATTTTTCTACATCTAGATCAAGTTTGCTATTCAAGTAGCACTAATGTAGATTACAGGCTTTCATGTCACTGTCTCTAATTTTTTTTTTTTTTTTTAAGAAATCAAGCATAACCTTGAATATGTCATGCAGAAAGCTGCTTGTAAATTATGTGTAGAGACTGTAGTGGGTATTTACCTGTTTCACCAAATTGATAATGCAGTTTTGCTTATGTAACTGTGCAGAGTTCAGTTCCTACAGTCAACATCCCTTATGTTAAAAAAATACTTGTTTTTTCAAAGTGTTAAGCTGTTCTTGAACTTTTCTGTTTTGGATATCTAACAAAATCTGTTACCTGTTGCACTACAACTAATTCTTAATATCTTGTTAGATGCTTTTTGATACTTGCGTTTTGGTTTTGGGTTTTTTTTACTGGAGTTAAAATGTTTTGAAGTTCGGGTTTGCCACATTCTCATCTTGTTATGTTGAGCTGTTTGGAAAGAATCTTAAGTTCTCATTAGAATGAGAAAATACTTAAATGTTTAAATGGTACAGCTGTTATCTAGCCTCCAAATAGAAGTAGCTCTTGGAAAGAAATATTTTGACCATGCCTTGACAAACATAAACCTGCTCATTTTATACAAGAATTCATTGTATGCTTGAGGCATAGAGTAAGGCAAAAGCAAGTCTTTTGCATAGCCTAAAAGAAAAAAATCTAGCTATGTTGTGGCGGGCCAGACTAGCTACAGTACTTCAGTCTGCCATTTGGTGATGTTCTATTTTCCCTGAAAAAGATTGCACAAGCAGTAGAAAAGAGACTTACTTCCCACATCATATTCTAGGCTGTAGAGTAAGCACTTCCAGGAAAGAGCCTGTGACCTCCTTCTACCCAGCCTGATTTTTCTGCATAGACCTTCGGCTTCTGAGCCCTTGCACACAACAGGAAACTGCTCCTATCTCAAGGTAAGGCAGGAGGGTCTTGGTATAGAAAAGGCAAATTGTTCTGCAGGTGTCTGAATACTCCTTCAGGGCTTTGTGTTTTACCCCTAGAGGGCTCCCTCTTTCCTTTGGCCAAAGCAAAACAAAAAGCAATAGGAAAAGATACATGATGTTGCCCATTGCCACAAATTGTTCAAAAGAGCCCTCTGCATGCTGTGTCATTCCTGTAATATTTTCATCTTGCAGGTAGGCACTGGAAACTGAGTGGGAAAAGTTTCTTTGCATGGTAATTCCTTCCTGCCTTCCTGCCTGCCTCCCTCCCTCCCTGTATCTTTTAAGAAGTTAGAGTGTTTCTGGCACTAATTCTGTGATTTGCTTTTTACTGGTTAAAATTCAAGTACTTGGTTCAGGCTGGGGTACAGCTGTCCAATACCAGATCTCTGATAATGGCCAACGGCAGTAATTCAGGGAGAGTGCAAAAAGCCTTTTAAATGGGAGGCAGGAAAGAAGTCATTCATGTAAAGAGTAGGACTTAAACAAGTATAGGTTAGAATAATATTTTTTTTTGCACCTCTTAGTCGAGACTAAAAAAAATCTGAAGCCTTGCTTCTCTTTATATAAGACATAAAAGGTATTTCTCTGTGTGTTTATCAGGCTATAAGAGATACCTCTCTTTTAGTCTACAGCCCAGTTCCTTTACGAAACCAAGTTCTGGTGTCAGTGTGGGGAAAGGAAAAAAAATTTTAACAATGGACGAGAAGACACTTCAGGCTTTCTGTATAATTAATTATAGTAATTTAAAATCTTGTACAAAGTCTATGCTTGAAGAAGTTCTAAGTTATAATTAAGCCAAGCTGCTAACGATGGATCTAATTGTTGGGTTACAGACAGGCGCAGGTAACGCGAGTTGGGCCACTGACATCAGATATTTCACCCAATTGCTTTCTGTTGATGCAGCTAATTCCACCCAACTGTTCCAGCAGCTGGAATGACCGGCATGGGCTGAAGCGTGGATGCATGTCAAGAGTTTTCCCTGACAGACTTAACTGGCCAAATGTCATTGGGTTTTAAAGGTACCGTGTCCTTAGTGTTGGCTCTCAAAAGACTCCCTGGAGCACAGCTGCTTTAGCACTGCTCCTGTTGAACCCCTGCTATTGAGGGACGCAAGATGGGAGAATTAATTAGACACTGAGATGGCTCTGCCAATTCCCCCTTGCTATCGTATCAGTCACCTGAAGTCTTATATCTTTCTGAAGAAACGAAACGTTGCAGTTGAGGCAAAGGTCAAATTCAACAGCGTAGGCAGGCTTTGTTGTTGCATTGGTGAGTCTGCTTTTAAAAACAAAAAGTAATCCTCTCTCCGTCCCACCCTTCAATGGATTTTCATCTCTTCAAAATGTTAGAAATACCAAATCATACATGGACGGACCTTCCTCTTACTACAGATCTAAAGCTGATTGCCTGTACTGGTGATTGATGAGGACACTAAAGTAAACATCAAACCCTAGTCATTCAGTATTAAGGTTACATTTAAAGTCTAAGCACAGTGTGTTTGGAAGTTACTGGCTGAACCATTGAAACAATGTTCCTGCTATACAGTGCAGTGTATACTAACCAGAAGATTCTGAGGAAAGCATTTCAAGTGCTTGGTTTTGGACTGACATTAAAACCTTTGAAAAATAGTTTAATCTAATTTTTTCCTCCCATTATGTTCCTCCTCCTGGAAATGTTTGTAAGGCTATTTTTTTCCTTAATTTTAGCATCTCAATTTGTGTCTTGGTTTTGTCCACTTTCTAAGGTAAAGAAATTATGGATCTGTATTCTCAGTCGTAAGCCCCTTTGTAACTGGTGGCTTTTACTTTTTTGTTTATTTGATAATGCTAGCAAGAGATTGGAAAGTGGCTGT